TTTAACTAGTAAATGAAAAATGAGTGCTTGAATTAGAATATCACCATGCCTTCATGCCTTTAACATGAAGAGCTGCTGAGATTACATAAGAGGGATGACCAGATATCACATGCTTCCTATAATCCTGCAAAATACCACCAGTTGTCTTGCTGTAAGATCAAACCAGAGTCTGATATATCCTCTGCATCCAGCTGCCAATTTTCAAGATATCCAGAGGACAGAGGAATATGCCGAACTGTACCCGAAATACACATTCCACAAAATCCAGACTCTGGAAAACTACAGATCAAATTGCCTGGGTTTTCCAATAGATAAATTGTATGGAAATGGCAGGTGTGGAGGAGGAAACTATAAATTCAAGGACTCAAAATATATCAGATATTTTAAAAATGAGCAAGACTAAACTATAGTATCTAAGGATAGACATTGGAATGATAAAACTATCACTCCAATATTTTTAAAACACAAGTGAGCTATTTATTACCTATAAAAATGAGGATAAGGGTTATTGTGAAGAGAGAAAGGGACTTCTGGAATGTTCAGCAAAGTTCTGTTTCCTGACCTACATGATATTGCCGTATAACAATTTATTAAGCCATGTATTTGTATGTCTCTGTTTTATTTTATAATGAAAAAGATTAAAAAATGAATTGGTCTAGTCATCAAAATTTTAAGGGTGGTTATCTCTGGGTGGTGAAATAGCTGGCAATATTCTTTTTTTTTTTTTACTCTGAATATTTCCTTTCTAATTGTACTTACACTAAACATTATTATATGTGAAATTTAAATCTATAAAAAGATATTTCAATACAAGTTTTTAAAAGATTAGCCACATGGTATCTTAACAGTACTTTATTTTAAATGAAAGGAAAATTCAGGATGTAATAATAGATGTTTTAATCAGTGGGTATGGATTTTTTCTCTTGGAAATGACATGTTGCTGGTGTGGTGAAAAGACCCAGGTTTGCAACAACAGCTTTCTTACTGAACTTGGTTGGAATCCATGAAAGGCTTAGTGTCAGTTTCCTTACAGGTCAAAAAACTGATGATAATCTCCTCACAGGCCATGATGGATACATGAGATTGAAGGAAAACGATTTATAAGGTGTAGGGTTCTATACTAACATGTTACCTAGTGGGATCTACAAAATCTTTTGTTCTCCTTCTGTCTTTTCTTACAGCAATAAACAAAAACCTAATTTTTCAAGAAATGCATGAGTCATTTAAAATGCTGGATAATTGGTACAGTAATGAGTGTTCCTTTCAATTTCATCTTTCTATCATAATATCAATAGTTATTTGCTTAAGAAAAAAAGAACAAAGTGTTATACCTAGTGTGAAGACAGAGTTGAATTTGCTTGTATTCATTATGCTAGGTGGGTGGTCCTCTTTTTCTTTTTGTTACCAAATCATTGCCTTAGCACTTTAAAATAGAGAAATATTAGGTACAGTCATTAGATAGAAAATTAGACCAAGTATGCATACATATTTTAACATTTTTATTGCAAAAATGGGCTTAATTCACTTTCTTGGCTCTATTCCAACTAAAGAATTACATTTTACTAACCTGAGTATAATCCCTAGTTCCTCTGGGATGAATTACTTTTTACTTTTTCTTTGAATATTGCACAAAGCTTATGGCTCTATTGAATTAATGCCCTTAGATTACAACTTTTGGTGGTAGTTTTTTCCTCAATATAAAAATTTTTGAGGAAATAAAAATGTGCTATTTCTGTGTAAGTATGCACTAATTTTAAAAAATATATAAATATGAGCATTATTAGAAACTCAATTTAATTTCCATTTCTGCTGTAACTTTTTGGGAAGGCCTGTAGGTGTTTGTTGGGGTTTTTTTTGTGTGTGTGGGGGGGGCATAAAGAAGAGTTGTTTTGTTTGTTAGTTGGTTTTGCTTTGGTTTTCTGTGTCTTAAATATATTTAGCTTAAGAATGTATGATGTGAAATTAAACTTGGACTTTTGAATGATTTGTCATTTTTTCCCTCAAGCAAGAGATTGTATTGGAATCCAAGTATGGAAAATCTAGAACCACATTATGCTAAGTGAAAGAAACCAGTCATGAAGACCATATATTACATGAACCCATTTGTATGAAGTGTCCAAAATAGGCAAATTCATCAAGACAAGAAGTGGATTAATGCTTGCCAGGTGTTGGAGTGGTAGTGAGGGGATAAATGGGTACAGAGTTTCTTTTGGGGGTGATGAAAATGTTCTGTAATTAGATAGCGGTGACGGCTGTTTAATTCTGTGAGTATACTAAAAACCACTGAACTGTACAATGTACACTACCCTGACTGAGACAGACTGGATGAAGAGCTTGGTGCCTCGCCCACCTGGCCTTTTCTCACACCCACCTCAGTCAGAACTGGGAGCTGAAGACCTAGATGTGGCTTGAAAACCACTGGTTTAAGACATCAAAACCTTTATACATTGCCAGGCATGCAGATGGCCCAAAGGAAAGCTGGTGTCCATTAATTCCTTAAGTATGCCTCTATATATTAGCAGAGCAGACATAGAAATAAACCAGGTCATAAATGTTTGTCTTTACACAAGGTTCTTTTTGTATTTCTATTATGGAAGCCTTTGCTTTTCTCTGTTTATCAAGACATTCAGGGTAAACATATCTATAAACTTAATTATCTGCATTTGTGATACCCATTGTAAAAGATGTGAATGTCCTTTAAGAGTTTCCTTCTTTACTCCCAACTATATTCTGCTTTTTTTTTCCATTTTGCCTGGTGAGATCTAATACTCCCAAACAAACCATCATCTTTCATAGCAACCCCGTTTCCTCCACAGAGTTGCCTTAAATTTTATTCTCTTTTCGTTAATAGCTTTTCCCCCTGCTCTTCTTTAGATTTGGAAGGGTCTGTATCCATATAACTGTAGGTCATTATATAGCTTATTTTCAGTTATTCAGGAAAAGATTTATCATTGTGAATTCTGTGGAAAGGCCTGGTGAGTGTATGTGGCTATTCTTGCTGGAGGTTTTTGTTTGTTTGTCTTAATAATGTAAAAATTGATGGATATTAGATTATAAATAGCTTGGGCTTATTCATGCCTTCTCTGCTTTGAACGCCTCGAGAATTGAATTGTTTACAAGAAGCAGACATATTCAGGTGAAATGGGAGTGAATAGAAAGTAGCAAA